GGTGGCAGCCGAAGCCTACTCTTATCGATTTTAGAACACCAAGGGATCTTTAACGTGCGCAACTTGCACACGGGCCCTCCGAGATTTTTCGCCCTTGTCCGAGAAGATCAGGGGTTTGGCAGAAAGACAGCAGTAAGGAGGAGCTAAGGAGTAGCATCAGTAGAAAGGCTGCAGAAAGAGCCAGGAGCCCAGAGGAGGGGGCACCGGAGCCTGACCTCTTCAATTTTGACTAACTTTACTCCGACTACATAATATATATGAGGCAGCGTGGTGGAATCAGGCTCTCGTCAAAATAATGAAATCGAAGAAAACAGCAGTTTTCTCCCTGCTTAGCAATTTTAATCAAATTTGTGTTTTTTGGCTCAATACATTTTATGTCCATTTACAAACACATTCCTTTGAGGATTTCACCGAAAAGCGTTGATTAAAGGCACACAAATATAAATTTACAGTTTCCGTAGACTCTCCAGCTTTGGAATTTACCAAGCTTTGGCGGCCATTTTCTCGCTAATTTTACCTCTTAAAACAGGTGACCTTCACCTCCCTCAATATATCTCCATTTCTATTGAAGATGGATGGGTCATTTTTTTCATTGAAAGCAAGACAAATAAACAAGCTTTAAGATGATACCAATAACTCTACATGCCCAAAAATTGACGAGAGCCTGATTCCACCACGCTGCCTCACATATTGTGTATCTCCCTATTAAAACTAATGTCCGTCTTAAACTTTAAGATAAGATGAGATACGTTATTTTTACTGTCCAGATCCTGGCTTATTGGTTTGATGTTTCACCACGTGCACACACACACACACACACACACACACACACACACACACACACACACACACACACACACGCACGCGCGCGCGCGCGCGCGCGCACGAACACGCACACAAACATGCACACACACGCTTCCTTACAATCTCAAGCATTTATATATCTGAGCAGCAATTTATAAGAAATAATAATCTTAAGCTAGATACATACATACCCTATGTTATTCTGATGCATGTTCTCTCTAAAGTCATATATGAATGCTTGTTATAAGCAGATGGTTAAGGTGGAAGAATTTTGATGGATGATGGTAAAAATGATCTTCTGTATCTTTCTTCATTACAGATCAGAAACCTGGGTCTTTTACTTCTGACTGATATTTTTATTTGAGAACACAAGGGATGTTTGTTGTCTTTCTTGGTTAAAATAAAATTCAACCGTTCTGCTTTTTTGAAATGCCTAACATTGTCTGGTGCTGGAGTTTACTTTCTAAAAGTGTGACAATGATTGAAGAACAGGTATCAGTTGTGTCACCGAAGTTTGCTTGACATTTGTGCGGCAGCGTGGTGGAATCAGGCTCTCGTCAATTTTTGGACATGTAGAGTTATTGTTATCATCTTAAAGCTTGTTAACTTGTCTTTATTTTGATGAAAAAAATATCCCTTTATCTTGAAAGCAAGTCGAGATATTTGTGTTCTTAGAGGTAACATTAGTGAAAAAAAGGCCGCCAAAGATTAGTTATCTCCTTAGTTTAAGAGTCCATGGTAACTGAAAATTTACTTTTTCGTGCCTTTAATCAACATTTTTCAGAAAAATCCACACAGAAATGAGTTCTTTAATGGGCATGAAAGGTGTTGAGCCAAAAAACGAAAATTTCACAAAAATTTCACAAACCTGCAGAAAAAAGCAGATTTTTCCACTCTGATTATTTTGACGAGAGGCTGATTCCACCACGCTGCCTCACATTT